ATCCTCTTTAGCATCAACCACTGACTGACTCAAGGAGAGTCATTCAGGTTAAAAATACCCCATTGCTTATTCCATCGCTTCTACCAGACAGGACAGGCAATACATATCAGGGACCCTGTTGTCTGCTGGTGACTCACTACACATGAAATCATTTACAAATACAGCACTTTCATAGCATTTAACCAAAGTTCACACACCGCATATGGATTATCCAAATTGCCACACCACGCTGTAAAGCATTTCAGCTCGTGCAGTCAGAGGTACACAATGGGTTTGTGTTTGCTTTATTGGATTCGGTGTGCTGTCAGTCTAGATAGAAATGGTTCCAGCGATGCAGCTGCTCATTTGCTCAGCTGACAAGCAAAGTGAGGTAGATGTAAAAGTGGAGATTCTTTCATTAGCTGTTTGTCTGAAACACCTCGCAGTGAATACATAGCACAGAGCTGGATACATAGGACATCAACCAATGAGTTTATGCTTGGGTCATAAATTTTATCTGTGAAGGCTTCACCAGCCTGGACCATGCAATTAGGTAGCTATTATTCAGGAACCTCATACATTTACATTTCCAAAAGCAATTCAGAAGGCCTGGATGTAATAATGCAAAGAACGCCTGAATGTCCTAAGAGCTCCCATCTTTATATCAAATTATTGTTTGCTAGTGGACACTAACACACAGCCAGTATCACACATCTGAAATGAAGGAAGTCAATCTGCTTTTGCAGATACTGTGCTCAATAGCAATGAATACTCATTTCTGAATTCCACAAACAAGTGTCATGGTTTGCTGCACTGTATGCAAGCTATTCAAACACACCAATCAACCAAGAATGGTGAGGCAGCAGAGAAGAAAGAGGGGGAAAAGCATGCTTGCTAAGCAATACTGATCAATCTGATGCGCAGTGGATTAGAGACAGTGGGCACATCTACACATTCATTAATGTGCAGTAGTCATTGCGCATTTAGTGTAGTACTTGCTTAATGAAATACTAACTAAATGCACAGTACCTACAGTTGCTGCGCAGGAGAGCTGGCACACGTGGTATTTTTAGTAGCCTAACAACATTGCACAGTAGTGTATTAGCATGGGTTTTGCCCAGCTCGCTGCTGCGCAGCGTTATTAGGCTAATGCACAGTAAGCGCCTCGTATAGACATGCCCAGTGAGAATGGCTCTGATACCAAGGAGTTGAGATGGAATTACTGGTTTTAAAAAGCGGGTGAGCCGAGGTCATTAGCATCGTAACTGCCATCCGCCCAGAAGCAATGCATCTGCAAGCCCATGCTCTGTCCCAGGGGAGTGACAAACCAGACACTGAAAACACTTATTGTTAAGCTGCACGTACGTCACATTCCAGAGCCTGTCTTGGTCACCCCAGATATTTTTTCTATGTTGGTAAAAATTAGGAAACTTTTCCAAAAAAAAATCCCTGCTCCAAAATTTGCTTTTTCTACATGGGTAAAACACGCAGAGAACTCCACTGGCTTGGCCATGCTACATGTTTCTGGATGGGACCCTTCCTCCTACCCATATCTAACAAAAACTGCTTGTCACGGCCAAATGCTTTAACCTTCCTCACCCCACTTTGGTGGATGGAGTGTGCAGTGGAGCTGGAATAAAGCGCAGAGGAACAAGCATCCCAAATTACTAATTCAACAGGCTTTCATTCTGCGTGCAGCCAAGCTTCACTCTGCTCGAAGCCAGCTCCATTGATAAGTGCTGCACGTCACGGGAGATCAATGCTTGCCCTACAGGGCAGGTTAGGCTCTGGTTCTACTGCAACTCCACGTTAAGTGATTTTGTCTATTAGGTACCTTTGCACTGTAAGTAGTTCCACGGTATGCTCACCATACTCATTTAAAACCCATGCAACACACACAAAAGAGTTGCTCAAATTAGCCGGCGCTCTCTGTGTAGACATCCTTAAAAGCTGTCATTTCAACTGACCTTGTATACTAAGCCTCCCAGTTTTGATAAAAATTCTCTCTCTGGAAATCAGCTCAAACTCCTCCGTGCCAATGCTCGCTCTCTCTGTTGCTTGTCCCTTCTATTGGGTTTGAACTGTCCTCAAAGAAACAACAAAAATCCACAGACATTTTGCATTTTGTCTAGTTACACTAACATTTTATACAAGGGGAATTTCAACGACTTGCATACAACTACATCCAGTTGCCCCCGTCTCCAAATGTCGGGACACCTGAAATTGTTCTGACAGCAACCATCTGACAGTAACTAATATATCATCCACAATATTTCTTTGGAACCGTATTTTCTTGATCAAAATATATAGCTTCTTTCTGGGTTTCCTTATAAACACACAGATGCTTGTCATTCTCAACACAATATCCTTTTTTACCTCAACGAGATAAAAATGTACACAGGAAACCTCGGCAGGCACGGTTCTTTGAGTAGATGTGATATCTTTTATTAGACCAACTGAGTAGTTGGAAAAAAGGTTCTTAGCAAGCTTTCGCATGCAGTCACCCTCCTTCAGGCATGGGGAGTCTCTGCTGGATTGAGACTCCAAGGAGTGAGAGAAGCTAGAAGTGTGGCAGGATGTCAGTGACAATGTAAATAGGTAGAGATTAGAAAGACAAAAGGTAAAGCGTGGCCTTAGACCAACACGGCTACAACCCCAAACCCAGCAACACGGGAAAGCTATGAATGTGAAAATGAGAGACTGGGATTCAGGACAGAAGTGACCATGGGTTTCAATATCTGGGCAAGCAGTCAACCCAGCTATGTACAAGCGACTTCTGGTGACAGGGTTAGCCACACCGCTGTCCCACCCTCTGGCCGCAACACCTGCATTTGCTCGGATGTTAGGCCTTTGCCTTTTCCTGTCTGGAAGTGGCATCCCCTGATTCTCATATTTTGATCAGGTGCTGGGCTATGTAGGACCAGCTGTGGTTGATCATCAGTCTCAAATAGGTTCAACACCTGCAAGCATTCCCTTTGGAGTTGTAACCAACAGTTGCTCACTAGAGTCCAGCTCTCTTAAATCCAAGTATTGGTTAATGAGAATGGTAGGAACAAAGCAAAGAGGAAACGGACTTTTGAAACCATAAATGTTTGCCTGCAAGCTGAACAGAGGTTGGCCACCCGCCTTGGCAGAGATGCTAGGCAGAGCCCTCCTTACTGCAAACTCTCTCAAAGTCCTTAGCTCCTCCGAAGCTCTGTCTCACTACTCAGGCTCTGGTGCCCCTGCATTTACAAACAGTGATCCTCCTCCTTAACAAATGAATCTGTTTGTTAGGAAGCTGAAGATGAACATTAAACCAAATGGGTCTAGTGTCATCCCTCAAAGTGGATCAATGCGATGCACAAAGCTATTATCCTTCTACTGTGTACATGCAGCCATCTGACTGAACTACCCACTTCCCACTTACACAAAGAACATACACTTAACATCATAAAGCAGCTCCAGATCCACATTAAAGCAGGCCAGTTTATTTATTTATTTGTTTTTACCAACAGCACATGGCGCTTCAGGTGGGCCAGAACCGTTCAAGAATTTACATCGAATCCAGTAAACTGTTCTGGCCAAAAAAATGGAGGGAAAGTTTTGAAAAATGCTCAAGCATGTTGCCTGGACATTTTCAAAACGAGACACTTAGTTTTGGCTCTGCTACAACGGCTCACATTGACATTTTTTAAGCAGAACTTTTTGCCTTTGGGTTCTGAAGTGTCATCTTGCTTTAAAAATTGAGCTAAATTAAATGTGTGTGCGCGCGCACGCGCACGTGTGCAAAGGTCAAATAACTCAGAACAAAACATTTCAGGTTAGCCTCAAATGATCCCCCCCATTTAACTGACACACAAAAATTTAGACTCAAAGCAATTTCTTTTTTTCCAATTTTCTACTTTGGCCGCCTGAACAAAAAATCCATTATTCACACAGCTCAACTCCACACCTCCTGATTGCAGTAAGCCAGAACAGTAGCATCCGCAGGAAGAAGCAGCTTGTCTCCCATCCTGGGCAAATAAACCCGCAAATGTCAGTCATTCACAAAAAACAGGTGAGCAGCAGGCTCTTCATTAACATAAAATTTACAATCATGACAGAAGGAGGAAGAAAACATCTTGCTAGCACTTGCATCAAGTCAAAGCCCCATGTGACAAGGGCTTTGCTGCTATCAGTTCAGATACGGCATTTACCTAGAGGATACAGGGATGAAAGGCCATTACCCTAAGCAAGTTAGTAACTAGCACCGCAGATGGAGGACAAGATAGCCCATGCTAAAGCTAGCTTTCTCACACCTTTTTACTGCAACTCAGTTAGCCCAAGGACTTTGGACTTTCCCAGAACCTTCATGGACAACTAAATGAAACGATCTCTCATGAGCTCCTTCTAGTCACTGGTGCCTGCTGGTACCCAGGGCCCTAAGCATGGCACCTACAACTGAATCTCCCCACAACAGATGCTTGTCCTACCCTGGTATTTTCTTTGTGCACCCCAAATCTCTCTACTGCTGCACAAGAACTGTGCTCTTGGACTGCTCCTGCTGTCTGGTACAAGGCTCCTCTCTCTGCTGAGCCAACCTGGCAGACAGAACATTTCAGAACATCTCTCTCTCTCGTTTTCCTCTCAATTTCCTTGCTGGAGCACATCTTTAACTGTACTCTCTTACATGTAGCAAACATCTGGGATACAGCTTGTATGAAAGATGATTTACAAGAACTTGTATTGTACTGGGTGATGTTTCTGCTCTGTGAAAAAGCAGATAACCTTTAATTTCCAGCACAATAAGATCCTTAATCTGAGCAAACCCAAGTATCCACCTGGACTCTAAAATGTAATAAATAGAAGATAAGAATATATTCACCTTCCTGCCTTTGATTAATGAAATGCTGTCCCAGGTGCATGCTTCAAATCCTGTAATTCAGTGCTGCAGAGAAACTGTAATGCGCGTAAAGCATCTGGATCAACAAGTCTACTGGCTCAAGAGAGAAGCCTCACCGCCCATGCACTTTTCTCCCCAGAACAGGCGAGACACTTACCACCTCAGAGCGATTTTGATGGGCGTAGTAAGGCATGATGTGAAAAGGTCAGCCGGCAGGTCGGGGATCATAGGGAGCAGCTCACTGGCTTCGCATGCTGCCAGCTGAATGCAGTTCTTCATGGACGGGGGCAAAGGCATCTGAGCAAGTGGATGATTAGGGTTAATTGCAGCCACCTTGATGAGAGATCAAAATAAATGAATCAGTTGGAGGTTTCAGCCATCCAGAAAACAACCTGAACTCAACTCTGCAAACCACTTGCCAGAAGCTGCCCAGGGTCAGTGGATCACTGGATTCAGCGGTTGTGAAAGCAGCAATGATATTAATGCATCAGGAGTGAGCAGCTCTCGTTTACTTATGTTTATGGTACGATATCTGCTTTTAATTAGAGTAGCAACTGGGACACGGCAAACTCTGAACCATCACTTGGGAGGATTCTTCGGTCCACAAAGCTCTGCCCCTCTGAACCAAGCGCTGTCGAATTCAGCTGAATAAACTATGGCTCTGCCCACCGTTCAGCAGACTGCCCTCCTTGCAGCCCGCTCTCACTCACTGAAAGTGGAGAAACAGCTTAGCCTGAAAGAAGGAAAGGAGACCAACTGCTGTAGAGCTCAGTGTCATGAAAACTGAGGACCTAGTGCCAGGTGAGGGGAATGCCGCACGCTACCCAGACTGCTGCCAGGAAGACTCACTTCCACCTAGCAGCCAAGCCAGAGGCAGAAGGGGAAGGCAGAAAGCATCTCACGGATCAGAAGCAGAAGTGTGCGGTGAGATCAGTAAGTGTACCAGCAGGTCCAGCTTTCCAGTCCATATTTGATGAAAAAGGGGCAGGGAATAGAGAATGTGTACGTCTCTGAGCTGTAAGTTTTGCCCAGACTAGTACATATCACTCAAGTGTTTTCGACATCAGCTCGATGAGGTAGAACAGCATCAGCAATGCCAAACGGCTCTAAACAAGAAATTAGTTCCTAGGACTACAGTGACAGCTCTGCTAAAAGCTATGATTGGTTTGGGCACACACAGCCATCAAATCTGAGTCACAAAGAGAGCTTGGGAGCGGTAGCAGATGTGTCAGTGCAGACTTCACGCCAGTCGTGCACTGATGGGATACACTCAGCTAACGGCATTCCTTAGGCTGCAGCCAGGAATAGGCTTTGGGTAAATGCTATTCAACTCCTCTGCTCCAGGTGCTTTACAGGAATCAATTTTTCAAAGAAAAGGGGTGGTAAAAAGCAGGACAGCGGCAGGCTACCTGAGCATGTGCAGGGCCTGGTAAAAGTAGGACAGAGCTTGACGTGAGAGTTTAACCCCACAATTCGAAGCTGCATCATTGCAACCGATTCATTTTCTGAAACAGAAATAATGCGCGCCTCGAATTCCAGACACGCTTTGAGAACTGCAATGCTGCAATGCGATAGCAATCCAAAGTTTGCTTAAGACAGTATGTTATAGAGGACGTTTAAGAGCGCTGATTACATTATAAGCTCAATATCGGTATTTCTTCCAGCGTCTCTCTAAAATACGTGGAGAGAAAAACACTTGAGAGACATTTCCAAACATCTGCAGTTTTGGCCTCGGGTACGTATGAGGCTTCTTGAGTGAACAAAACAGAGAAATTAAAGTACGTGCGATGTTTTCGCTGCCCTGTCAACAGCTTGTACTATGCATGACAACAAAGAAGGACCCTCGAGTGATCCAGACAACCTTTATACGCCGAACCGTTCCCCACATAATCACAGGAAGTAAGTGTGGTGGTCTCAGAAGAGCCCTTTGAGCAGGAAGGAAAGCCCTCTGTGGGAAGGGGTTACAACCCCCCAGTCTGGCACAACTGCCCACGTTGGCTGTGGGGAAGGATTTAGTACAAGCTGTGGAGAGCTTTCAGATTTGCACTCTCATGATATAACCATGAGTCATATTTTCTAAAGTTTTTGCTTTTTAAAGAAAAAATAAAGAACCAGCCTCAGGAGCTGCAGCCACGGTTTTCTGCAGTTTTCTCGCTTTTCTCCAAGGCAGGTGCTACCTCCCATCATCCTCCATCAAACTGGGCAGCCTCCAGCCAAGAAGGCGGCTGGATCACTACATCCCAGGTGAATCTGAAGCGATTCTGCACATCAATCCCCAGCCCTCTGGTCATCTCTACTGCACTGCCCCAGTAACCTCCGGCATGGCTTTTACACAATCATACACTCGAATAACTGCAGAGGGATGATGTTGTCGGAGGGAGCAGGATGGAGGGGGTTAGCCCTTCACAGCCACGACTCTGGTTACTAATGCTGGACGGATGGGCTCGTGCAGGGGGCATCTTCAGTGCATACGAGTTCTTTTAAAAGGAAAATGTATTTAAGTTGGCTAATTCTATGCTGGATGAGAAGTGCTGGGCACTGACGATGTCTAGACACAGAACAAAACGGGCAGGGGTAAAAGCAGTGCCAACTTCTCCAGGTCAAACCTCCCAGCTCTGACCTCGTCTGTTCATCATTTCTGGCCTGTTTAATCCTTGGCTGGCCTCTCTACCGCGAGGCTCAGTTAAGCCCCCCCACTACAAATATAATGCGAACGTTAGTTTGTAAGGATCTGGTATATTAACATCTACTGACTATATGAATTCACCTTTTGATTTAACACCACACCCCAGTTAAATTCAAACAAATGAGGAAAGGATCAAGCTTTAGTATTCCTTGAGCCATCCAGCCTCTCAGGATAAATCATTTTATCCCTTCTGCAAAGTAACCATGGAGAAAAAGATGGGCTTTTACCACTCAGCCGAAGCCCGTTACAAACAGACACTTGCAGCAACCTTGCCCTTTGTGGCACGCAAAGGGAGGGTCATGCTTAAATACAGCGCAAGGAATGTATGCCTCACTCCAGCAGAGCGATAGTTCATATTTCCTCAATTTCTCAGCCGCCATCTTCTCCCAGACATGCCCCCAGCACGTATGCAAAGCTGGTGGGAACAATAAACCTCGGGGCAGAGACATGCTTCTCTCACAACAGTTAAAAAGGCCTTGCCTGTACTGTGAATAGGGATGACATAACAGGCTCCAAGAGCATTTGAAAAATCCATGGCACATCAAGTCAGTAATACTGCGACCTAATATTGGTTTAAGTTATTAGTTACAGTGAAATACCTAGACAGCTCTGCAAGGTGGTAATAATTGAATTGTTCTGGATACAAATTACAGCAGCTCAAAGCTAACAAGACATTCAGTTTTGCTATTTGCAAGCAATGCACTTGCCAAAAGGAAGAACTAATTGATTTGTCACTATCACCACTGGCAATTAGCAGGAAGGGACACAAGTGAATTTTAAATCTCTTATTGAAAACATTTATACACAGATGTAACCAGATTCAGAGGCAGGAAGATGCAAGAAAAGCAAGTCTTTATGATTTAAAAGGCCTGCTGGAGTTAAAATAAGAAACTCTACCCTAAAGCAGAGACTAGAGGTTGCTATTATTTTCAATACTAGCCAGAGCTGCTGGTTTCGATGGGTTTCTTGATAACTGTCAAAATCCTCACTCCCCACAGAAGACATTCAAGCGGGTGCAAGGAAAGGAGGAATTCCTTCCTACCAGCAGATGATGGAGCAGGAAAATTCCTCCATCAGGCCTCAGGCCAGTGCCAGAAATGATCCTGCCACTTTAGCATTCAGCTAATTTTTTGAGATGCAAGTTCAAGATGGAGAAGCCAAAAAAATGCAACTCGGATTAGCAGCAGTTAGTCATATACTCTACTGGAGGCAAAGGGAACGCGCACACCCACAGCAGAAAGCAATGCCTACACAAATAAGGAACGAAACAGGGCTACGCGGCTTTAAGGGAATATGCTAAGAAATTCAAACAATAAAGGATGCTGAAAATAGAAAAATGATATTAGCCTGCAGAAAAACAGGAACGCAGAAGTGATGTTTTAGGAGTATCGACCCACCTTTCTGCTTCCCCTCTTAACTCCTCATTTTGTGCTCCACATAGTCTGAATTATGGGAAGTTAATCAGAAGTAAGCAGCCTGTTGTTTTCCCACTGTCAGTACAGTGCACTTCAGAAGCTTGCTTAATGCTCTACAATTATGGTGTATTTACTTACACTTACAGAACCCACTGGAGCTAGTTAATTGGATAATTAAGAGCTATAACTGGGTGCCTTTACTCTGAGAACATGCAAGAGTGAGAGCTCGGGCTTTAGGAAACGCACAGGCAGGGTATTTTCTAAATAGGTTACTCCCTGCTTTGCAGGCACTGTTTCCTGCCATGCTGGCATGGGGTCAAATCCTTCAAAGATAGCCCGTCACACTATCTGCCAGTGTGCACATCGGTTACTACCTCTACTGCTCTCCTTGGTGCCAGGTATGATGATAAACAGGAAGCCAGCAGCAGGAGATCTAGTTTCTAAATGCTCGGGCTGGTTTCCAAATAGGAAAGATGGCTGGGGGGGAGGATTAGCTTTCTTTTAGAAAGGCTGCAACAAAAAAGAGCTGAATAAAAGCAAAATACCAATGAGAATTCACATTTAAATGGAGAACATGAATTTGTCCAGGCGCACTACGCTGGGGCTTTACCACCACTGTTTATGGCAATGGAGGGAGGCATGCCGCAAATTAACCCCACGTACTCCCTGAGGGCCACTCCGTTTCTCTTCCCCTGCTTAATCTGACACTCCGCTTTCTGATCCCTGCCTGGTCTGCTGCTCTGCTTTCTGCTTCCGGCCCTATCTGCCACTGTACTGCCTGCCCTCTCTCCAATCTGCCATGTGCCACTTGTTGGCCACCTCTGGTGTACGAAACAGATGGCTGTTAATTATCTGTGAGCTATCCAACCCCTCTCATTATCTAGATACTAGCAAAACCCTATTTTGTTTAGGAGAAAGTTTTTATTTGAGCTGCCTTTCAGATGAGTTGCAAAGCCAAGGTCCTAACTGCCCAGCCAGGTGGAAAAAAAAATCCCAAGACACTCTTGGAAGCTGGTCAAGAATCCCAGGGTCCTGCAGCCATGCTTTTCTAACCAAGGAAGGGGCTAACATCATGATGACACGCAAGCCAGTGATGAGCAGATAATTGGGGATTGTTTTTGCTTGCGGGGGCTACACTGCTAGCATCCACCTCAGTAAGGTCTTGAAAATAAAGAGACTTTACAAACTCGAATGCTTGCCTTCTAGTTGGGAGAAAGAGGAAGCTATAAAGG